AATCAAGGGAGCAAACTCAACAGACATATGGAGAGTAACACGGCCGACCCCTATCTTTGCTCTTGTTAAGCCAAGTCTCTCTCTCTCTCTCTCTCTCTCTCTCTCTCTCTCTCTCTCTCCTTGCCCTTCAGATCAGATACTACTGCTGCTGACGAAGGCCACAGTACCAGGCGGCAGCGGCGGGAAGCGTGTTATAGAGGACAAAGGAACAGTGGATTTGGGCGTTGTTTGAACTGGCGGTGGCGGCGATACAGAGTTCAGGACAAGTGTGTGTGTATGCTCTCCCTCTCTCTCTCTCAACCTTTATCTCGATTCCCTCCTTCCCACCCTCTCTCCTTCCTTCCTTCCTTCCTTCCTTCCTTCCTTCCTTCCTTCCTTCCTTCTACAAGTAATCACTCTTCCTTTACTTCCAACTTTATCAAAAGCTCAAAAGAATATCTCTCACGTTCCACTGCTTCCCTCCTTCCCTTCCCTCCCTCACCCCCTCCTTCCCACCACCTCTCATCCCCTTCCCCTCCCTCACCTCCCCTCCTTTACCACTTCTCACCCCCCTCCTTACCACCTCACCCTCCTTCTCCTCCCCCCTTTCTCCCATACCTTGAAACAACTCCTCTCTAATTAAACCGTGATTTACCTGTCCACAAATTTTTGCAATTGTACTCCTTGTCGAACACTGGGGAGGGAGGGAGGGTAGGTGATTGATAATCCTTCCCTTCCCCTCTCTCCCTCCCCCCTTCCCCTGACCCCCCACCGAGGAGAAGCTATGATGTAAGTGTTTTTTAAGATTTTGTGTCGTTGAGGCTGAAAAGTCTTTGTTATTGAGGTAGAGAAAGAGTCTTATTGTGGTAGAGAGAAGAGTCTTATTGTGGTAGAAAAGTCTTGTGTGGTAGAAAGAGTCTTATTGGGGTAGAGAAGAGTCTTATTGTGGTAGAGAAAGAGTCTTATTGTGGTAGAGAAAGAGTCTTATTGTGGAGAAAGAGTCTTATTGTGGAGAGTAGAAAGAAAGAGTCTTATTGGGGGTAGAAAGAGTCTTATTATTGGTAGAAAGAGTCTTATTGTGGTAGAGAGAGTCTTATTGAGGTAAGAAAGAGTCTTATTGGGGGTAGAAAGTCTTATTGTGGTAGAGGTCTTATTGGTAAGAAAGAGTCTTATTGTGGTAGAAGAGTCTTATTGTGGTAGAGAAAGAGTCTTATTGTGGTAGAGAAAGAGTCTTATTGTGGTAGAAGAGTCTTGTGGTAGAAAAGAGTCTTATTGAGGTAGAAAGAGTCTTATTGTAGTAGGTAGTAGAAAGAGTCTTATTGTGGTAGAGAAAGAGTCTTATTGAGGTAGAGAAAGAGTCTTATTGTGGTAGAGAAAGAGTCTTATTGAGGTAGAGAAAGAGTCTTATTGTGGTAGAGAAAGAGTCTTATTGAGGTAGAGAAAGAGTCTTATTGTGGTAGAGAAAGAGTCTTATTGTGGTAGAGAAAGAGTCTTATTGTGGTAGAGAAAGAGAGTTATTGAGGTAGAGAAAGAGTCTTATTGTGGTAGAGAAAGAGTCTTATTGTGGTAGAGAAAGAGTCTTATTGTGGTAGAGAAAGAGTCTTATTGAGGTAGAGAAAGAGTCTTATTGTGGTAGAGAAAGAGTCTTATTGTGGTAGAGAAAGAGTCTTATTGTGGTAGAGAAAGTCTTATTGTGGTAGAGAAAGAGTCTTACTGTGGTAGAGAAAGAGTCTTATTGTGGTAGAGAAAGTGTCTTATCATCCAGGTGAGGCAGAATAATTAATTAGCGAACGTTAGGGCTCAGGTAAAGCAATTTTTTAAAACATTTTTATTTTCTTTAATATTTTCTCGTTATTTTTGTTATTTAATTAAAGGTATGTCTCGAGTGTCCCCCTGGTGGCCAAACTGTGCATTACGTTACACTCCCAAACCTACCTACCTCTCTCTCTCTCTCTCTCTCTCTCTCATTCATCAGCGTTACTGCCATTATTATTGTCATTTATCTCCGTTACTTCACGAGACAGTAATATAACCCCTTCAGTAAACTAAATAGCTAAGGCCCTCACCGCGGATACACTCCAAGGATGACTAAATTTAGAGACACACTTCCTGTGTAAGTGTGTGTGTGTGTGTGTGTGTGTGTGTGTGTGTGTGTGTGTGTGTGTGTAATAATAATAATAATAATAATTAACGGTTTATTGAAAGAGCTTGGCAGCCAGAAGGCTGAAAATTTACAGTTACATATTTGGGGAATGGGTTACGAATTACAAATAATATGTGTGTGTGTGTGTGTGTGTGTGTGTGTGTGTACTAAATTATGACCGGATCCGCTGTGTATTGAGTTAACTTTTTTACTTTACTTTTTAGTTTACATTTAGTCTACTTTTGGGGTTTACAGAAAACACAAAAAGTCATCCTTACAGACACCAAAAAATATCCCTACAAAAACAAAAACTTTATACACCGCCATCAAGCCACTACACATCCCCACGCTTCAATGCCACATAGTTGTTTCTCCTATAACCTCCAACTTTTGCATCCCAGTGATACCGAGTGAATATTTTATGTGACTATACTCCACAACGAAGCTTGGAGCATTATACTAGGTGGTAGGGAAGAGGCGTCGAGTGTTGAGGTGATGTTAATTGATGTGTTATTTTGAGGTGATGTCAATTGATGTGTTATTTTGAGGTGATGTCAATTGATGTGTTATTTTGAGGTGATGTCAATTGATGTGTTATTTTGAGGTGAAGTCAATTGATGTTTTGAGATAATTTTAATTTACTCATTATTTTAAGATGTTTTTTTAACTTAGGTACGTTTTGAGGTGATGTTAAATGACGTGTTCATATGATGTTAATTTCCGTGTTAATTTGAGAATATTGATAAATATTTTGTTCAGAGATGTTAAATTAAGCTGTTTATTATAAGACAAGAAATCAGTGTATTTAATAATGAGATGATAAACATTTTGTTAATGTTAGACTTTATAAACAGTGCTTCTTATCATGGGATGGTAATTTAACATTTTTGTAGCCGAGTTATTTATTTACTTTATTTAATTGGTGTATAAATGGTGGTCAAAATTCCCTGGACACTTGGTGGTATGTGGCAACTCCTCGTGGGATCTTGTACGTGATTGGTTGAGATGAACTGAAAACTCTCTATCTCTCTCTTTCTGTCTCTCTCTCTCGAAATTATACCTGACAGGTGAGTACTAGGCTTAACTAGTTACTACCTACTCTACCTGGGATAGACTAAACACTAATTAGCACCAATGCGGCATTATTCTGTCTCGTGTGAATTTCAACGATGCCAAAAATTTATCTTAATTTTCTTCTTATTATTATTTTCTCTATGTGACTGTTGTATGGATATTTATCTGTGTTATTATTATTATTGTTAAGGCTGCCAACCTAACCAGAAGTGTCCTCATGATGTACAAGGTTGGTTGGGTTGGTAGTTCGTGTAAGTGTGAACGCTTGTTTTGTGTTCGGTGTTATATCCAAATTTTGTTTTTAATTTTTCATCTCTTACAATCAATTTATTTCTTCATAAATAGAAAACAAACAAAATTATGACGTATTTAAGTTATCAGTTAGGCATATAGGTTAGTCATTTGTTTAAAAATCAGGCGAAATTATAACCAAAGGGAAGCCGAAGTCAGTGTCGGTCGCAAGATGAGCGCATGCGTGGTGAAGGAAAGACAGATGGCGGTGTTAACTAGACCACAATCATGCGGGATAATGGGTGAATATTTCTGATGACAACTTTAGGCACCTAGAGATTATTATTATTATTATTATTATTATTATTATTATTATTATTATTACCTCACCTCATCTGTTATTTAGGTTTAATATTCAGTACGGTGGGATTACATAGTTTACACATCAAAATAAATTACTCTCTCCTTAGTTCCGGGTCAACTCTGAGCGATCGTTAATTAAAACCGGGTTGAGACGTAGTCATTGAACGAACGTCTATTAGCTCCGGGTTGGGTAAATGACATATAAACACGGATTGAATCATTGACATCAGAACGTTTATTAAATCCAGGTTACGTAGACTATAAGAGCGAATGTCTTACTATAGGTCCGGGTTAAATAAGACACCCAGTAACAATCCCCTTAAATCCAGGTCGTGTTGGAGTAAACGACTGTAAACACCCCCTCCCCAGAGAATACGCCAGCTAGATACGGGTCGCAATGAGAGTGAGTGTCAATTAATTCCGGATCGGGCTTTGATCCTCCTGTGTGCACCGCCTCGCTGTCTCTTCCTCTCAATTAACTTTCACACCTGTGCAGCTTAAGGTAATTAAGTCACGGAGCTCCGGGCAGGTAAACCGATAATTGGCCATTGTCTTAAGGCGAATCTAGTGAGAGGGTGTGAAAAATGGTCCCTTTAAATTGTGTGTAAGTCTCTCTCTCTCTCTCTCTCTCTCTCTCTCTCCCCTTTTCTCTACAGTATCCCTTCCTCCCATCTCTTTCTCCACTTCTCTCTCTATCTCTCTCTCTCCCCTCAGCTCAGCACACAGGTAGGAAAACATATCGTGTCTACTTAACTCTCTACCTCACTTTTATCTCTCAGTAAACAGGTGAGAAAATTCACTTAATTGTCTCATAACAACACCACTATGGGGGAGGGGGGATTAGCTTCTAGAGACCCTGGCCAGCAGCGGTAAACAAGGTGTGTTATGTTAATGAGTGACCAGGTAAATACTCTTCAGTTAAGATCAATAATGATAACAAATAATAGTGATAATAATAATAATAATAATAATAATAATAATAATAATAATAACAGCAACAACAACAACAATAATAATAATGATAATAAAAATAATAATAAAAATACCAATAACAACAAAAACAATAATAAAAATAAGTAAAACAATAACAACAATGTCGAGTGATTTAACAATATCTTTCAATACAAATAAAAAAAGTTTTGATAATTAATAAACAAACAACAATCTACAAGTAAACAAATAAATATAAGTAACGACCCACTTAACTTACCTTTAGAGTGAGGTTGTGAGTCTGGTGGGCGTGTAGTCAGGTTAAGAGGCTCATCATTACGCCCACACACCGCCGCCCATCCCAAGATATCTGAAATCCTATGTGGCGTTGGTGATTTGGGCGGCGCTTCATACACGTGTTGATGCCAGGTACGGATCGAGGGCGTGACGGTGTGGTGGAAATTGGATTGGGTGGTGGGCGTGGGTGGCTTGAGGATTTGGCTGTATGTGGGCGTAGTGGGCGGGAGGGCGGGTGATTTTTCTCCTGGATCCGGGGAAGGGATGGAATTGGAGAGAGCTAAGCTGACGCCCACGCTGCCGTTCATGTTGAAGGCGCCCACGATGTTGTTGTTGTTGGTGGGCGTCTTGGGTTCGTGGGCTGACTCCCCCGCCCCTGACATTACTTCAAACATGAGGGTGGAGGTAGGGGGGGAGGAGGGGCAGGAGGAGGAGGGAGTGGGGGAAGGGGAGGGGAGGAAAGAACAGGAGGAGGGAGGGGTGGAGTTAAGGAATGGAGAGGAAGGGAAGGAGCAGGAGGAGGAAGGAGGAGGAGAGGTAAAGAAAGGGGAGGAAGAGAAGGAAGAAGAGGGGGTGGAAGTAAGGAAAGGTGTGAATAAGGAGAAGGAAGAAGGGGTGAAGGAGTGGAGGGGAAGAATTATGTAAAATGGGAAGAAGAAGGAATAAAAGGTAAATAAATAAGAGAAAGAAAGAAAGAAATCGATAGGAAAAACTACGAAAGAGAATTGGCTTAGAAGGGATAATTAAAAACAAAGAGTGGACAGAGATGGGATGAGGGTTAAGAGGAGAAGAAGAGAGAGAAAGTGAAAGAAGGAGGAAAATAGGAGGTAATGGATAAGAGGGAAGAGAGGGAGAGAGAGAGGAACAAGGAAGGAAAGAAAGAGGACCAAGATAGGGAAGGAATGAGGGCAGGTAGCTTTCACCCCTCTCAAAAAAATAACACCACCACCACCTTCTCCTTCTCTCCTACACACAGGTGCTCCTTCGTCAGCAGATGCCTTCGTCGTAGTGATCGTCGTCCACACACGCCGACGACACTTTGAACCAAAGATCCACTAATTGGTGTACCCAGTATTTCTTCCACTAATTGCTTGCCGAACGAGCCTTTGGTGTTGTGGGGGGAGGGGGTGGGGGGATTTAGAGCGTCTTCCCCCACACAGCCAAGATAAACAAGGGGAGGAGGATGAGAACTTCGTCAGGGGGTTCCTCTCGTTGTGATCTTCGGCAGCGACCTGTGCGGGAGAAGAGAGAAACACTGGTGGTTAAAAAGGTGGAGGGAAGGAGGGTGTACTACAGAGAGGGGGTGAGCTCTCTCTCTCTCTCAATATGGCCCATCGTTCAATGTTCCACTTTCTCGCACACACACACACGCACACACACACACAGCGTATTGTATTAAGAACACTGATAAAAATTAATTCATATATATACAGTATTATTATTATTATTATTATTATTATTATTATTATTATTATTATTATTATTATCGTTATCATTATCAGTGTGTGTGTGACTGTCATGAATATCCCATAATGGTTTAAGTCTTGGGCAAGGCGTCCATTAATAGTGTGTGTGTGTGTGTGTGTGTGTGTGTGTGTTGATCCCCACCAATACAATCCAAACGCGACCACTGCTCTGTCGTATCCCTCCTCCCTTACCCCTCCATTATCTTCTTCCTTTTCTTTCTTAGCTTCCTCCATCACCCCGTCCCTTATACCTTTCCCCTCCCTCCCTTATACCTTTCCTCCCTCCCCCTTTACACCTCCCTAACTCCCTCTCTCTCCCCAACAATCCCTCCTCCTCCTCCCCTTGTTTCTCCCCTCCTTCCTCTTCCCTCTACCCCCCCTATTATAAAGGGATTTTTGTGATTAAATCCTGATGTAACCATAATAAGCGGATTTCCTTCATTAATTAAATCCGTTTTGATGTTAGTACGAGGATTTCCGGCGTTCAATTAATCCCTTTGGAGGTTTTATTATGCGGATTTTTTTCTAATATATTAAACTTTTAGGTTTTTGTATACGGAGTGAGTTAAATGGTTCTAATGTTGTTGTGTTATTAATATACTGTACATGGTGGTGGTGGTGATGGTGAAGGTGGTGGTGATGGAGGTGGTGGTGGTGGTGGTGACTGGTGTGGTAGTGAAGGTGGTGGTGATGGAGGAGGAGGTGTGTGATGGAGGTGGTGGTGGAGGAGGAGGTGGTGGTGGTGATGGTGGTGGTGGTGGTGGTGGTGGTGGTAGGAAGGTGGGGATGGAGGTGGTGGTGATGGAGGTGGTGGTGATGGAGGTGGTGGTGGTGACTGGTGGTGGTAGTGACTGGTGGTGGTAGTGAAAGGTGATGGAGGTGGTGGTGATGGAGGTGGTGGTGGTGGATGGTGGTGGTGGTGGTGGTGGTGGTGGTGGTGGTGGTGGTGGTGGTAGTGAAGGGGTGGTGGTGATGGAGGTGGTGGTGATGGAGGGGTGGGTGATGGTGATGATGGTGGTGGTGACTGTGGTGGTGGTAGAAGGTGGTGGTGATGGAGGTGGTGGTGGATGGTGGTGGTGAGGAGGTGGAGGAGGTGGTGGTGGTGATGGAGGAGGTGGTGTGGTGATGGAGGAGGTGGTGGTGGTGGTGGTGGAGGAGGAGGTGGTGGTGGTGGAGGAGGTGTGGTGGTGGTGGTGGGTGGTGGTGGTGGAGGTGGTGGTGGTGGTGGAGAGGTGGTGGGAAGGAGGTGGGTGGTGACGAGGACAGGTAACCTGGCCTGGGCGTCTACCTGTCCTCTACATCTTCCCTCCTCCAACACCTTACCTCCTGACCTAACACACCTTTCTGTCACACACACACACACACACACACACGGTAACAACCCGGAACTAGCCACTATAACGAGCCAACTAAAGTCGTCGTCAAGGCACCTCTGCACACGGATCTAGGCGAAGCGTCAATATCGAGGAGTAATAATGGTTCTTATTTTATTGTGATGTGTATGTTAGTAATACAAGTCTCTCTCTCTCTCTCTCTCTCTCTCTCTCACTTTACAGTCCTCAAGTCAATACAATCTTGGTATTAATAGACAAAGTTGAGGGTATAGGAGGGCCAGGGGAAAGTAGCAGAAACGAGGATGGATGAATGGAATTAAAACCATTGGGTCCCCAGAGATACAAAACCTTAGAGGATTGGTAAAAAACAAAAAAAACCCAGCCCCAGAACGTTTATAGTAGAGGGCTGTAGTCGCCAACCCTCAGATATCGGGATGTTATATACTGTGATTTATTTATTGATTGGTTCAGCTGTTTGAGAGTTGAGTGTGAGATGATAACAGGAAATACTTCAGGATGTCTTTGTGATGTCATGTTGGCGACTGATTAAAAATGTTGAATTTTACTGGGATGGTGTGTGTGTGTGTGTGTGTGTGTGTGTGTGTGTGTGTGTGTGTGTGTGTGTGTGTGTGTGTGTGTGTGTGTGTGTGTGTGTGTGTGTGTGTGTGTGTGTGTGTGTGTGTGTGTGTGTGTGTTCGGCTTTGCGCGTTTGATTGGGTTGGAAAAGACACAGATATTAAGTGTATTTATGTTCACGTTTAGTCAATAATTGTAAACAAAAAAAATAGATCAACTTAAAAGAATTCTGATAGTAAGAATAAATTAGCGAATATTGCCGCTTCACTATCACAGTACCTCAACAACGATAAGTTCACCGTTCGTGGATACACTATACTACACTACATGACACGACACTACACTCCACTGCAGTACACTCCTCTCCACTACACGGCACTACACTCCACTCCACTCCACTCCACGGCACTACACTACACTCCACTCCACTCCTCTCCACTACACTCCACTACACTCCACTACACTCCACTACACTCCACTACACTCCACTACACTCCACTCCACTACACTCCACTAGTAGACTGAGGAAACGACACAATATTTGAGCTCAATCGAATGGAATAGTTAGCGACGGATCATTTCTCCTCAGGCCTTTTTAAAATATTCTTACGGTCGACTTATGTTATCCGGTTAAAATGTGTGTGATAAGTTGTATCCGGTCGGTATTATGTTACTCTGGCACCGGATGCCTCGAACGTTATGTACATTCAGTAAGAGTTTCGTTGTGTTGTTATAAATTTAGAACACATCATAGCTTTTGACGTGGTATTTACCGCCATCTGTGTGTGTGTGTGTGTGTGTGTGTGTGTGTGTGTGTTTACAGGATGGAGATGTGACACCATAGTTCATAAACGTTCAGTGTTATAGATGCAGTTATGTTTTATTATCACACACACACACACACACACACACACACACACACACACACACACACACACACCTAGTATAATTGTCAGACAGTTTAAAACTTCTCAAACTCACTCGAAAAGTTAAACACACTCCAGATTGATTAAAAGTTAAACCTCAAACACCTTTAATATTCCACACTGGAGACACGTTTAAACCACTAACAGCCCCCCGTCCCCTCCCCCCTCCCCCTTCCAGAGGTTAGATTTATCACAAAACAATTAAATATTCCGTTTCAAGGGTCATTACTCAAGGTCAATTTCGTTTTGTCGAGAATATAATCTCTCTCTCTCTCTCTCTCTCTCTCTCTCTCTCTCTACACACACACACACACAGAGAAGCTGTACATAAGAAACCGTAACGTGACCCATCAACATTTTACAGAACAAGGTGTGTGTGTATTATTATTCATGTGTGTGTGTGTGTGTGTGTCTTGATCCTCTTTACTACTCTGAAAGTCTTACTAAGCATCAGAAGCCATTAACCTCCCACAGTAAAACAAAGGACTTCGCCGCGTTTAAGTTATCTAATCCTTTATGCAAGAAGCCAGAGAATTCCCCCCTCCCCTCCCTTCCTCCTCTCGCCCTACCCCTCCTATCCCCCTACCCCTCCTATCCCCCTACCCCGAGCCGACAAAAGACGGCCGAGTCCTGGCAGCGAATATATTGCCTGATCGCCCAAACAGCGGCTCGACTTTCATCTTGTGAGACTAATAGCATGTAGCATTTCAAGGGGTGATAGTGGGAGCCTTATCTGCCAGTAGCCCAAACACCACGACGACGTCAAATGAACGGATTCTTTCATGGTGATGTGTTGGGTGAGTTGGCAGCGTTGTTAGTGTCAGTCTTACCAACCTCTCTTACTTCCCTTCCTTCCTTCTCTCCCTTCCTTCTCTCTCTTCCTTCTCTCTCTTCCATCTCACACTCTCTACCACACTCCTTCTCTCCTCCTTTTCTTCTCTTGCACACTCTTTCTCTCCTCCTTTTCTTCTCTTGCACACTCCCTCCCTCCCTCCCTTTCCTTCCCTCCCTCCTTTCCTTCCTTCCCTCCTTTCCTTCCTTCCCTCCCTCCCTCTTCTTCCGTCTCACAAACAAAAACAAAAAATCTTCCGATGACATTATTATTTTATTTTGTTTATTTGTTAATTGGTCTATACAGAAGGTCATACCGGGGTTATATAAGACTGGTGTGTGCGTGTGCGTG